TGATCCACTTATCATCTTAATTATTCATGTTTATCCTCCTGAGACTTGAGGATCTACACTTCTAACGCGATATGGGAGGGGCAATACTCACCGACATGTTTTCGGTTAAGGTATCGGCAGGAATTATGGATATTGCTTGAACTGGGCGTTGCTGCATTAATGCACCAAGTTAATATCCGCTAATAATTTGTAACGGTTTGATTATCTTGATTATCTTGATATTACTTGCGAAACGTAAAACCGATATGTACAAATGTGAAATTCGCGTGCTCATGTTATATTTCCGTTTACCGCATCACTGATCCGTCTCGGAGCAATTTCATGTTTGATGTACACTCACAAAGGACTCACTTGCGATCATACATAGATATTGCAAGATTTTGTTTTTATTCGATAAAATACCCCTTCAAATGTATTTTCCCCGTTTTATAAGTAAATGTAAGAAGATACAAATTAAAGCGATTTGTTTTAATCAATTCACTAAAATATCTCAAAATTCCTAAGATTAAGACAAATATTACTTACGATTAGTTATTTGGGGAAAAAAAATGATGACTTTTGTCCTCAAGATCAAGTCAAGATTCACCTAAAATTTCTAAATATCAACCTCTATTTTTCACTGCATATTCTTGTAGTTAATATAAAGACGTTTTTCAAATACTGGTTACAAATCTTTTTTCGATGAGAAATTTTTGAGTTATAAGTTCTCTGTCAGCATTAGCGATCTTGTATTTTTGGATAGTTATTACTATATAAAATGACAGAGATACATTTTAAGAGGTGTTTTATCAAGTAAAAACACAAAAAAACTTACAATATCGACATACATGTGAATCTCAAGTGTGAATCTTTTATCAGAGAAAAAAGACGTAATGATAACATAACAACAATTATAAAAGTAATAACTATACAAGTTAGTATATATAGAATTAATGTAAATACGTATAGTTGAATAGATGTGTATTTTATATTATAGTTATTAGATTATGTATTTTATAGTTATTGCAATTAGAAAATAATTTGTTCAATTATATGTACGTTAGTTTATTCGATTATATACATTTTTACATATAAAACTTACGTGGTTACCTTTATTGTTGTCATCATTATGTTTTTCTCTGAGCATAGAATATCACATCTCATCTACCATTATACATTATTCATCTGACTTCATTTTCTATTTTTGATCGGTGTTTCCTCGGAAAATGGTGAAGTTGCATCAGAGAGGAGTTCTATGAACGCCAACATCCACTTTTTACCTTGCCTTTCAGAAAATGACGAATTCACCTGTATTTCGAAAAAATTACTTTGCAGATCCTGGTACATGAGCTCTTAGGAATATGAAGTAACGAGCGAGAAACTCGAGCAAGGTGTTCGAGGATGAGGCTCTTGAAAAATTGAACACACAAAGGAGGTACATAAGCTTCACTTGGCTTACGCGATGCGTAGTTCCTTATTCCATGTTGTGGAAGAGCCAGCCGAATAACTTTTACGAGTAATACGGTGTTGCTACCAGAGACATTATTGCGAAGCGACCTTATAAATTTTTCTTTCTTTCCTCGCTTACACTAACGCCGCGTCGGCTGCCCGTTTCTTACCTTATGTGAAATGTAGCATAATAAACATGACACTGTCTGTGTATTAATTTACTTCGCAACACCTCATTTTTTTTACTTATCTCATTAATGGATACATCTCATTATTAAATAAATACAAAAAAGAAGAAAAAGATTTTAAATCGACACGCCAACATTAAGAAACATAATATATATAAAGCGAATTATAAGTAAAATTACGATATTAAGAACGATAATAAAGGCAAAGCCGATGTCTATTAAGTCAATCCCGTGATAACATGCGAATGTATCTTTGTTAATAAAATGTTATAACAAAAAAGAAATTTTAAAAATTTATATCTGAAAAAAAATTAAGATTTAAAAAAATAAAAGACTTCTTAAATTTAGAAAACTAGAAATGTTGAAATTAAAGAAAAATATGCCATAAATAAATATTAAAAAAAATTTACGACACACTAATTGTATAACATAATGATTACGAACTTTCAATCGTTATTATTAAAGATTATTCGCTAATTAATGCTGTCTTTTATATCAAAGAAAAAGGTATCCTATGACATATTTAAATCTATCAAGTAGATTAGTAAATTTTCAAAATTATAGAAATATTAATCTTGATTTTCGAGAAAACTCCTAGATATGCCATACGTTTGTCATTGTAGGGTCAATTGTACATTTACATTACAATTTTAAATATACGTATACAATATGAAATATAATTTTTTATTATTTTATTTATTTATTTATTTAAAAAGGAATACATTATATGAATTTTCGTCCATTGCGTTATTTTATTCCTAATTAATTTGAAATTATTTTGGTTTATGTTCTGTATTCAACTGCAGAAGAAGATTTGAACCTCGTAATAAATATTAAATTAATTTTGGAGTGGATGCCTTTCGCTTTTACATCTTTGCAGTGACAAAGCTACGAAGATTGACTTAATAGGCATCAGTATGCCTTTATTGTTGTTCTTAATATCATAATCTTACTTATAATTCGCTTTGTGTGTGTGTGTGTGTGTGTGTGTGTGTGTGTGTGTGTGTGTGTGTGTGTGTGTATGTACTTAGCAAACGCTTAATTATACTAATGTGGTTTTTATGCGATCATACTCTGTGACAAAATTACTCTACTAATGGTGCGCGCCATTTTACCGATATTCAATTTTCGCGATAGTCGAAAGAATAAAATTTTTCATGTACAAAAAGTGTCCGCGGTGTTAATTTGCTCGAATTAGCGCAAGTAGCTGAGTGCAAAATTGAGTCGACAGAGAAACAAGTGACGCTGTTACAAACGTAACGACGTTTTCGAAGCCACGAATTTTATCGTTAAGCCAGAGAATTGGAGAAGTTTAAGTAAGCAGCTTTGCCTTGCAATTCCTATATATGGCAATATATATGGCAATTGTTTTTCAATAAAAATTATGTGCCATCAACTTCTTCATATTTCCAATCCTATACATAAAATTTTACCAAAGCGAGATCCGTTTAATATTAATTATACACGGAAAAAATGCTGCGGTTGTACAACCAGAAATAATGAATTTTCGCTCATCAATACATTTAAATTGGTTGTAATAACCGTAAGATGGACATACTTTAATCGTAGCCGTTAAGATATGCCGATCTTGGTTATCACAATTGTACTTTAGTTCTTATGACCAAAAAATATATTGATGCGCATTTTTTGGTCATACAATTGTAATGACTAACTAACCTTTTTTTCCGTCCACATTAATTATATTTGTCTTTTTCACGTTTTTAATCCGAATTCGAGGGGCAGCAATGAATAATCCCTATGTCACTTTCCGTATATTGCGCCCTGCGAGGCGGGACGTTTTAAATGAATCACCTTATATATATTAACGTATGTACGTAGGTGACGAGAGACTCGTCAGTGACCTAACCGGTCGACGATGCCTAGCTTGGTAAATCTTGCGGCAAACCACGGCCGGTGTATCTTGCAACGGAAATCTCGAAAGGCCACAAATCGAGCCGAGCGCAACCGCGTCTGCGGTCGATATTTCTGAAGCACTTTCGGAAGGTGATACTCGAAATTTGCTGTGACTATCGCTCGACAGCAATCCGGAAACCAATATTCACGTAGAGCTCTTGAACTTGTGCTTCGCCACTGATTTCGTCGATGTATATATGTTCTCTATTCGAATCCTCAATTTTACAGTTGGAAATGGAGTAACTATGAGGTGAGAGTGGATCAAACAAAGATTTATAAAATTAAATACAGTCTTACACAATTGGAAAGAAATTTGTGATAAATTATACTTCACGAATTCGAAACAGTCATATTTAACTTTAATTTTACAAGATGAATGTTAAGAAATAACATGAATCTTATGCAAAGATACAAAAAACACTGTATCACAATTAGGAAACAAATTGTGGAAGGATATATTTCTTTAGTAATATCAGCATATAATGTTTCACAAAAATAAGCTTCTTACTACGTCAAGTATTTTTTTTTAGCGTGTTGAAGACTTCGTAAAGTTTTTACTTAATATATTAGCATCCAGAAAAACATAATTTAATAATAGATCAAAACCTGATGTATACGAGGTGTTATAATACAGTAAAAAATTGTAACAATTATACATTGTAAGGCCTTACGATAACATCTCATATATTGTTCTCCCTATATTTTTCTGGGTATTTATATAGCGAGCTGGTTTTTTTTTACTTTGTACCACATTGTCGCTCCGAATACACCTGCGCATGATTCTTATTTACTCTTACTCTCTTTTAATAAATTTGAAAACTTAGAAAATAAGAAATCTTATTATTTGATATTTTAATTTCATTATTTTTTTAAATAAAAAACATTTATAATAAACTGTACATTCGTAAAATAAACGTGTACATTCTTTTATTTATTTATTTTACAATTAATATTTGTGTTTTAAAACTACATTAATTTTTTTGTTATTTAATTACTTACTGATAAATTGCGTTATTTTAAACTAAAAAAAATTTAACACAAAATGTTAAAATAATATAATCACATTATATGAAATTAACATTTGAGTATGTTAAAAGATCGACAAAAAATTTTAACAATGTTTGGTTTAACAAATACAAATTTTTTCATCTTGTATGAAATTTAACAAATTAAATTTCTTTTTTTCTTCTTCTTTTACTTCCTTTCTTTACGTTTGAACGAAATTAGATGAAATAAAAAATCAAAATTAAAATTTCTACGAGTAAATCATTATTTTCTCTCTCGAATTCTAAAATTTTGATATCAATCATGACGTCAATTCGTTATCAATCATCTTTGCTTGTAAATTGGATCTCAATCTTGAGGATATAATCGGGAAATCCCCTATTTATGTATATAATGTATTACAACCAGGATTCAGGGATCTGCTGAGGATCTTATTGGTAAATGGCTTTACGATTCTCGTTCCAGGGGATGGCAACGTAACGTAGCAGCGGACTACTAGCCGGCACGAGATGAATACGAACGGTAACGCGGTCGGGCAGGAAGGTGGTGCCGGTACCGATTATGGAAGTAACGAGGAAACGGCGGCTCTGTTGGGCAGGCCACCGCCACCGCCGGTCGTGGTGGCCGCGGCGTCTCAGGGCAAGCCGGTGCTCACGCGGCAGGATCGGGCGACCTTCCTGGTTGCCTCGCCGCAACTGTCCGTGTCCGGGCTCGGCGGCTCCGAGGAGAGCGGCACCAACGAGGATCCGGCTACCAGATCGGTACCGGACATCGAGCTTCACTGCCGACTGGACGGCGAGCCGCAGCCACCACTGCCGTCACAGATTCAGCAGCAACAGCAGCAACAGCCGCAGCAGCAACAGCAGCCGCAGCCGCAGCCGCAGCTCCAGCAGCCGCAGGTGCAGCAGTCGCAGTTGCAGGCGCAGCCGACATCCTACCGGTCGTCCAGACAGTCGCATCAGTACAGATGCAGGTGCGACCGAAGGGATTCCCTTGCGCCCACCTCGGCCCTTCATTTGGCCCGCAGCGTCTCTAGGTAAACTTTTTTTTAGAAAAAGGAATAACGATGATGAAAATATGGAAAATGCTGTTTTTTTTTTCGTTTTTTTCTTTTTCTGTGTTTATTTCCTTCTCTCTTTATAATATAAAATAGCGCAGTAATTTAATTTATTGCTACTTTAAGCTATAAAAAGAGAGAAATAAATATTTAGAAAAAGCGATATATATATATATATATATATATGTCTCGCGAAGCGTCGAATGTTCAAATATTTGATTTTTTTCTTTCTCCATCAGATAATATCGTATTCCGTGGGTCACAGTTTAGTTTTCCATCATTACGTGAGCTAAACATACAATGGCCTTGACCGTATAAAGGAACATTCGATACGACCTCACTTTTCTACTTAATAGAGATAATATAGGCACATAGAAATAGTCGTTTCGTGTACTTGATCATCAATATGGCAGTGACATTTATTTTTCATGAGGCAACCGCTGTATCGCGCGGTTTCACATGTTTGTTAATACGCGTACCTGGAAAAAGTACAGCCATTTATTCAATCGGAAATATAAAAGCACGAGCGTAGTTTTACATATCAACGTGTTAAAATAAATAAATATTAAATTTGAAATATAACGAATATAAAGGTGAAAGAAAGAGCGAGAAGCCACATTTATACTTTTCAAGAAACCGCTAAATTTGATCACCAAATGCCATCACTAACGACAGTTTGCAGAGTGAAATGAAAAGAAATTGAACGTTACTCGTTTGAATGACTGACGACGTAGCTTGTTCATACGTGTACCATAGCATGTGCTAAAAATATACCGTTTCTTTATGCGGCGTTACTTAAATTTGCATTGCATGGCAAATTTAAGTAACGCCGCATAAAGAAACGGTATATTTTTAGCACATGCTATGGTACAATCTATGAGAATTTAGCATGTGTCGAAAAAAGAAAACGATCGCCGTGCGGCTTTAACACGAATTCAGAAAGTTTAGACTATTCGTGTAATTGGCAAAGTTTAACTACTCCGCGAGTATTAGTCGACCGCGCCATTGTAAACTTGCGTTTGTATGTAACGGAATCGGGGCAGATAGTTTCAGATGGTTCTCGATAGGGAAACACGTGCATGAATCAAGAATTCGTTTTTCTCCTTCTCGATATTGCTTATGATTTCGTTATGCCGTCTTCGTATTACTTATTCATTGGGTACCGATACACTATTCCCAATATATCACTGGGACAGTGATGGCCCAGGTGTAGTGTATGCATAGACAATTTCCGATATTCATTGTACAGCCAATCGCGAATATTCAAATGTCACGAAATTTGTGACAGTTCGAAATTACATGACAATTCTGAGTTGTCAAAAGTGTTCTGAATCAACCTTCAGAAAGAACGGTTTTATATACAAAAAGATCCTTTCCTCTCCCGTACTTCCTATACCCCCCGCAATCATATGGAAAAAGTAGTTTCAGTTGGCTGAAATCGCATTGAAAATTGGTTATACGGACAAAATTTTTATGTTTGGTTTATCCAATTGTTTGGTTTGATTCAATCATTATTTAGTTGCTAATATGTTTATTTATGTCAACACCATCTAAGTTGAAATAATTATAGTAGCTCAACTAAATTATTTTGATAGAAATATTATACTAGTAGAATTTATTTATAATTTTGCGTGGCATTTAATTACTTTTGTAATATATTTTTTTTTTAAATAACAAATTTCGCGTTTTTCAACAAATTTTTATTTTCAACGTGTGGTATTTTGTAATGTATAACAGTATAAGATCCTGATTAAATCTTCATAGCCACAATCATTAAAAACGAATAGATTTTGTTGTAGCACTAACTGAATGTTGCTGTTTTGGGTCGGACCGAAAAATAGTTTTATCTATAATACACAATTTGTTTCTTTTTCAATTGTCTAGGCATTTATACACGTATAAATAAATATAATGCTACATGTATACCATTATACCATACATAATAATGTCAGACATACTAATGGAACAGCTATCGACACCTGATATATACATATCGACATATAATATGTATATTCACATTATCTTCGCAAACATTGAGACATGAATCTACTCGACAAACATGCGTATGATTACATAAATTCTTAACTTTATTGTATATTCATATACATAATAAAAAACAAATTATATACAGATAACAGTACTTTTTAGTACAATTAAACTCAAAATAGTGATTTTCAAATGGATTAAAATCTGTCTATTTTTGGTTGTGTCTATAGAAATTTTTTATCGTCATCTTATAAACTAAAAATATTACAATTTCAGTCAATTTTAATGAAATCACTTTCTCTTGTGATTAATGAGGAGTTCTTTATTCAGAAACAATTTTTTTCTCAAAATAAAGCTATCATGCCCAATCATCTTTGACTTTGCAAATTTCCTTGACGATTTTCGTAAACAAGCTTTTATCTCAATATCTAATAACGCAGTAATACTTCGATTGTAATAGGCGAAACATGGAAACGCTGTTCCTCTTTAAATTTTAACAAGAAAAAATTATGAAATTGTGAAAATCATTGGCTGCGTTTAACAGAGAAAGCAACTTTGCAACTGTTGTAAAATTCTTTAATATGATTGGCTTATACATTTAGATCCAGTAAGGAGCTAAAAAAAGGTCATCGATAATTTCTTACTTAGATTCTTAGCTTCACTGAAGTAGCGATTTTCCGACGAGGACTTCTTTTTCATTTTTAGCACTACACTCTTTTAATATATTGAATATGACATTAGAAGATTTGAAAAAAAAAGCATACAATTTTTTCTGATTATTATAATTTGAATAATTTTAGCAATAAACTATGATACATTCTGAAAAAGAAGAAGTTAAAGAAATGGAATTAATAAAAGAAACCAAAACTGTCTTCCCAGCAACGAAACGTGCCTTGTATATTTTTTAGTCCAAACGTGCAACGATGAACAACGAGCACCATTGAAAGGTTTTCCAGTAGATACATTGAAAATCTAGTTGCTGTTAACGACGTCGGAAAATCGCCTCAATGGATTGCTATATGCTAAGTGTATACAGAAAAACGATAAAAAAGAAAAAGAAATATTAAGAAAGCTCGTTGAAGTCCTCGAAAACAGGCTAATATACATATAATATACATATATGGTATATATTTTAATAACTTTTATGTTAAAGTAAATTTTTATTTCTTTCTTGAAATTCTGCATACGCCCATGCAGATTGTAATATTCCGCCACCTTTAACATTTAAATCGTAGCAATTTTACTAATACAAACAACATAATATTACAAAAACTTTGATGGATAAACGCATATAGAAAGAATAGTTTTATTGAAGTATCTATCTAAAAGTTTGATTATCGTTTATATTATTTATATAAATCGTACTTATAGGTTATTCTACATCGCCTCTCCTTCGAAAGTATTAAATTTATAAACGAAATTAATTAAAAATATAAAATTAATAAAAGAAATCACTAACTAATACGTAATAATTAATTAACGTTATAATTTTAATAATTTATCAAAAAAACAAAATAAGTATTTAATAATTATTAAATAATAATAATGAAAAGACAAGGACGTCAAAGTAAAATTGGCTTGAACTTATTTTTGGAATTCACATCTATTATTAATTTTACTGTTGTCAATTATCAATTTTATCTTATGGAGTCGTATAATTTAGAGAACTTGATAGATTTTATAAAAGTATCAATTTAATCTTTATAACAATTGTAAATATGTATACAATGAAAAATATTTTACAATGAAAAATATATAAACCTTCTTTTATGAAAACTTTCATAATAAAATAGCGTGATTGCATTACTTTTATTAGCTTAGTATAACTAATATGCTTAATTGATTATTAGCTACATAAATTGATCAAAAGTTAATATTAAATGTACCTTATAATTTTAAAATACTACTATCTATAAAACAAGATCTATTAAATAATATCTATTAAATAATAATAATCTATTAAATTTTTATCTATATTACTTATTTCTCATTTATTTCATATTTTTGTTAATGAATGTGGCTTATATTAAGTATTAATTTAAAATATCGAGAGAGAGATGAAATACGATTTAGAGGACCAGTATACATTCAGCAACTTTCTCCTACTAAGGAAATGATGCAGTAACAATTAATAGTGGGAAATTATTTTACTGTGACAACAAATACATTTTTAGCAAAGCATAATTGCTGCTATTAAAAATTTGATTTTCCGTGTTCATAGATCTGAAAATAATTTTATTAGATTATCAAAATAATTATTTAAGAGATGTTCTCAAGTTAGTTGTTAGAACTCAAACTTTGTATTATATAATATTGCTCATCATGCTTGAGTTTTCTACGTAATTATTTTAAACAAAATTTTATTTTCAGATCTGTATTTACTTGTATTTTTTAATATTTTAGCAAAATCTTTTTTGCTGTGCATAATCATTTTTGAAGAGTGATTCAGAACTTTTTTAACAACCTAGTATATTGCTCTTTGTGTCAAAAAAAGATTTTTTTAAATATCTTTTGTTAATTTGTTTTATGGATTAGCTGGGATAGTCATTTTTCTAAATCAAGGAACATTGTATTTACGGATACAATGGATTTTTATCTCGGCCACGAAAAGACAATCTGTTCGCGTCGCGAGAATGGCTGGAGTCGGCCACTTTTATTTAAGTGCGCCCGGCAATTCGCCGGGAATCGCCGTTCTCCCAAAAATGCGTCGTTCTCAGAAAAATGCAATGCCTTTGTTTCCTTAAACAAGCTTGTCGAGGCAAAAGAGGCTTTCTCTTTTTTGCCAGTCCAGAGAATTCCTGACTCTCAACGCCGTCGCGAGTTTCTAGGATGATCACGTTCACCGGGTCAAAAGTTGAGCTGGTGAAATTTTATGTCGCCCTGTAACCTCTTCGGAGTCCGGGAAACGTACACCCGGGATTGCCGCGAGTGAAACGACATACGAAAAATGGCATTGTCGAGAATTCCCGACATGAAAATCGACGCTGTTGACCTTTCTCAAATCTTTTCTTTTTGCGTTAAATTTTTCAGCATTCGTGGCTGTTAGAACTGGTTAAATTTATTATGTATTAAGCGTATTCTCATTTTAATTTCTATCAGACATCGAATGACATTAAATTGAGACCATAACTCACGTGTTGTAATGTCAAGGGATGACGTACAAGACACTTGAGTTACTAAAATATAAATTGAGGTGTTCAACAGTTACATTCTTACATGAGAATGAAAAGACTTATGCAATAAAATTCGACAAAACGGACTTTGAGTACAGAACAGCAAAACTTAAATTAATTCCAAGTTTATTTTGTTAACATCCTCAAAGATTTGTTCTCTGAAAGATTTTGTATCGGTGTACAAAATACGTATAATTTTTTGCAAATAAAATTATCAGGTCGAGCAGCTGGTACAGCTGGTACAATATTGATATTGAAAGGTATCTTATTCGTTTATCAAGAAAGTTATACTTTTGTAAATATATCTTTTGTGTAACATAAAATAAGTATATTGGCAGTTTTGAATAAAAGATTTGTTCTTATCTTAAGAAGCCGCTCAGAAGCCAAGAAACTTCAGTTTTCATCGAACTTTAGTTTTCAGGTTGAAGTGTACAGTTAATGATATCTCCAGATGACAGACTTACCACCTGTCTTATAAACCGATGGCTCTTGACTTAAAGCGCCTTTAGACAGAAAGCTGTTCCAAATATATTCCACCGACATAATCAAATTAACGTCTAACCAACAAGGTTCGCTGGAATCTCGCGCAATAATTTCATCAGCAATTTTATGTTTACATTATATATATATTTGGAATACTCTAGAAATACCACATTCCATAACCCATAAATGCATGCTCTAAACATCTTCGAACTGATATTCGTCTAAAAAAGAAAGAACTGAAGTTATATGAACTCTAAAGTTAAATAATTAATTGCAACTTTTGTTAAAATAAAGTATAGTTACAATCAAATAAAATTTTGTTAGCTATTTGTTAGAATTCGCAAAATTAATTTATAATTTTATTTCGAATAATAAGTTGTCATTAATTCGTAATTTTACTTACAACTTAGAAATTGTTCGATACCTTGGGATTGAAATAATTATTATTATTCCCTATGTCTGAAGTTGAAAGAGACCTTTGAGACACCAATCGCACCAATTTAGTGGCGAAACAGTTTTCAGTGAGATTAGTCCACGGACGAGTGGGCCATGTGCAATATTGGATCACGTATTTGGAACTATTAGTTTAACTTTATAGTCCATACCAGCCGTGAAACTATACCAACCGTAGAATTTTTAGATACTATAAACGACACGAGAGCAGCCATTGCGCGCGATGATATTGTATTTTAGAATCAAGTTTCTCTCTTGCCTTTCTCTCCCTATTTAGTAGTTTATCTTATCACGATGTCAACTTTATATAATTATGTCAAGCTAAAGTGGTTGAATATTATACTCAATGTTAATATATATGATTCAAAAATAAAAATCAAAAATAAAAATTGAGAAAACGTTTACAGAAAATGAGAGAAGTGTGATATTAAAGTTAATTACGGAAGTTAATTTCATTTTTTATCTGGCAGGCGAAGATAAAATCAAGTAACTGGAAATTATCAACAGTAAAACTAAGCGGTCAGCTTTTAACTCTTTGAGTGATGGATAAAAATATTCGTGATACAAGTTTCTCTCTCTCTCTCTCTCAGTATCTTTCTCTATAAAAAACATTTTTTTTTCTTTAGAAGTATTAACATGCAATTAATACACTGTACTGAGAAAAAGAATAAAAATATTCAAAGCAAATGTTATTTGTGATATTTCCTTACTTCATATTTATAAAAACATTTGATTGTAATAATGGAATACGCATTGCTGTGAAATATATCACATTTTCCTCATTAATTAAATATAAAAAAAAAATAGATGATTTATTTGGGATAGAAATAAAATTTTATTTCGCCGCTTTTAAATAAGGATTTATTTAAATAAAATAAACATTATCTCCCACAAATAAATTTTTCAATATCTTTTTCTCAGTGTAGCATTTAATCGATTATCAACAAAGTTATTTTTTCTGAAAAGGGGCCTAAATCGGATTATCGATCGCTGATCCTCAAAGAGTTAAACGTAAATGGGTCAGATAAAATTTTCAACTAACTTAAAGCGTTCACTTGGGATTTCGGAAAAAAAGGAAAAATCGAATCTTATTGTTAGGCGTCAAGCTCTACGCGCGCGCGTATGTATGTGCATGTAAAACCACGTGTAATGTGTGTTTTTTTTGTTGTTGTTTTCCAAAGAGAGAGCGTGAAGAGTGGCCACCACTGCTGCCCGTGTCAGGCGCCGCCGCCGCCGGTGTTGGTCACTACGTCGCCCAACGCCCGCATAATACGGCAGAGCTCGCAGCCGGAAGCGTCCGCGTGTTGTTGCTCCGGCTGTTGCTGCCCGCTGCACACCGGCGCGGCGCCGAGC